TATTCTCTTTGTTCCGGCTTTAAATCCTCGATCTGGGGAATTGTTGCCAACACAGAATGTATGTCTTCATCTACATCTATCTCGACCGCTTTGTTTACTGTTGTGTTGTACCACAAAAGCGACCTAGTCATGGCTTCACAGCTCTTCGGTGATTGGCTGGTGCGCGGTCTACAACTTCCGGGGTTCTTGCTGCTCAAAGCCAAATTTCTCCACAAAGAGATGAAATAAGTGAAAACTTGAAACCTAATAAAAATACTGCAAATAGATATCCACACTTAGACCATTTAAAATACCAATGTGCTCCCATTTGAAATTTCAACGTGCAAATTGACACACACATTTCTTGTAAAACCATGTCATTATTATCTTTTGGTTTCACATTAGTTGTGGCGTGTCCCTAGATTTCCCATTCAGTCACCTTCACCCCCATGGCGTCTGTGTGAGTGCTGTGTGTAGACGGGTGTGGTACAGATAAACTCAATGTGTGTCCAAGAGGGACAACCAACCATCTGGCAGAGGAATCCCCCTCTCAGCAGGTCTGTGTGCGTGTGCGTCTGTGTGTGTCTGTGTGGTATGTGTGCGTGTGTGTGCGTGTGTGTTTGTGTGTGGGTGTGTACTTGCTCAGGCTAATTATGCTACAGCAGCACTTATGCACTGTTTTACAATCTGTTTGACAGTCAGGACGACTCAGGAGGGCAGGGGCACAGTCGCCCAGTCTGCCAAGGGCACCAGGGATGGGCTGTCTCTTAGGATTGGGACAGGGTTGACTGCTTCTCTAAAAACGATGATTAAAATAGCAAAATGAAAGGCTTTTTATGCTACTACTATTATACTTTTCATTTCATTTTGCTTTAAACATCTTTATTGTCTTTCTTTGGGTATCTTTGTCACTCAAATGTTGCCTCTACTACCTTTTTGTAGTTAAAATAAGGTTATCTGTAAAACAAACAAAAAAACATAATAACACTGTCAATGTTTTCAAGCACAGAAAAATATGATCATTATCTAATTTTAAGTGTTATCAGATTATTGAAATGTCATGTAAACATTTGCATCTGATGTGAGTAATCTGATTTTTTTTTTCTAATAGCTCATCACATATGCAGGTTTTCACAAGGAAAATTATACAAAAATGTAAACTAATGTGACAAAGACAAAAACATATTGAGAGAATGTTAAAGATTTAAAGAGTTATTTTAAAATTCATTGTACTTTGTCTTTTAAATACAACAGTTACTTTACATATCTGCTGATTAACAGATGCATGTCACCAGGAGTTTTCGATGATCAAATTTCTTTTTGTGCATGTAAACACATCAACAACATCAGATCTAATTATTGGTTCTGATTATTCAAATTATCTACTCCACAATTCACCTGACAGAGCCTTTCGCTCACTCTTATTTCGCAGTGTCAAATAAGACATCTCTGCCCTGAGGCTTGTGTATTATAATTCACTTTTGTAGCTTTTCTGAGTAATAATAAGCAACAAAGTTCCTCATAAAAAATATTCATGAACCAATATGAATACAACTACCACAGACTCAACTTCGAGAAAGACTTCTTTGCTCTGACGGTTTGCAGTAGAGTATGCGACGCGAGCAGGTGCTTAGTCTCAGATGACAAGAATTTGACGTATGTTTCAACTCGCTGTCCCTGTCAAAAATGCACCTGCCTCCTTTAGCGGCCCTGTCTTTGAATCTGTGTCGGCAAATACAAAGAAATTGCAATTCTGGAGATAGCCAAACTGACAACTTTCATTTCGCAGTGTGCTCTTTTGCAGCAGCTTTGGTCTAGATGGGACTTAAGGCATTTCCAGAATAAATCTCATTGAAGACAGGAGGGTTTTGGTCAAGGAACTCGCTGTAATTAGGGGTCAGGTTATACAAGGTTGCACCAGAGTTAAAGGAGACATATTATGCAAAATTGACCTGTTTTGACTGCTAAAAAGTTGTATTTAGAGTGATTCTTGCATAATTTGAGTAATTTTTATTCTGCATTCAGGATGTCATTGCTTTGAAAATCCCAATTGTAATCATTACTGATGCACACTGACTTACTTTGCTTATCTTTTTGTTTTTCTTAAATAGTGATACACTTAGGATATTTCGTAGTGATTTTGATATAAATGGAAAAAAAAATAAATAAATCAGCTGCTTGCTGTGAACTTCAACTATCCATAGGCAGCCATAATAATATAATAAAATAATTTGACATTTACATTGCAATTGTAAAGCAAAAACAGAACAACAGTATTTTAGATCATTGTTTTAGATCAATATTCCTATTTAAAAAAAATAAAAAATAAAAAATCCTCAGCTGTCATAGATTCTAACTGTATAGCAGGCAAAGCAGAATATGTCTTTCTCACTTGTAGCTTTTTAAAATGCTGGTCATGTCACTGCTCCATTTTCATGATCCCTGCGTGTTGCAATCTCCCAAACCGACCTGCCAACTTCACAGAGCGTCTGCACCGCACTGCTCCAAAATCCAAATATTTTATTCCCTTTTCTCTTTCTTCCTCACACCAAAAAAAAAAAAAAAAAAAAACTCTTTGAAATGTTACAAACCGAATTCATTTAAAAGTGTTGCTTCATGTTTACCAATCCCTCCAATAAAATGAATAAGTTAACCCAAATTTATTAAACGCTCATCTGCTGCGTTCTCTGATGTTTACTGGTCTTTAAAAACTTTATGGGATTGTATAGTCTCGGAGCACAGAACACCCAGCTGCCCGCATGTGTTTTGTGTTGCACCTCTGGACTGGAGCCAGCTGCTGTTTACTGTATTAAAATGCATTAGAGGAGATGCCTTCTTGGACATTTTTGGTGGGATTGGATTTGAGTGGCTGTTTGGGTTTGTTTGCCCGGTGCTTTATTGTGTTGCGGTGTGTCGAGAGAGGGGTCAGGCGTGGGAGGGTTTTTGTTTTATTTCCTTTTATGTCTATGTATTTTTGTTTTTGCCTTGTCAAAGGAGCCATATTACGCTATACTCTCCTTCAAGTTGTAACTTGTTTCTTCATCAAAAACATAACTGGAGGGTTTTTTTTTTTCATTCACATGTTTAGCACACAAACCCTGCATATTTACAAACTTCTTCATTCAACCAAAAAACAATCTGTTCCACCTTGTGACGTCATATGGTACAGGAAGTGCTCCACTGTGTTTTTAAACTCCATCTTCACTAGAATAATATGGATAATTTTAGTTATGGAATCTCCAGTTTCTGCTAATAAAAAGGTAAAAGGTAGTTGTTAACTTGAAAACTACCACTTCATGACATCACAAAGTGGAAAAGAGCATTTTGAGCATCGGAAATGTAGACAGACTAATAATACAGGATTACTCAAACATGTATGAATGAAACAAAACTCCAGGTAAAAAAAATTGGGTAGCAGGAGTACTACTTGGATATACAAAAATTGTGCACAATTGTCCTTTCAGTGTTCTTCAGTGTAGGGACCAGTCTCAAATACAAAGCTGAAAAAACTGAGGCACTCAGAAAGTACAAAATAATCAAAAGTCTTTAATACCACATGATAGTAGTGCAAAAATCCATAGTGCAAAAATTCTAAAGTGCTACAGATACAACATGTAGAATTTGTACAATATACTAGAGCCCTAGTCTTAAACTGTTTCATTGAGACGAAGATGTAAAACAGCAATTGACTATACATTTGTAGTTTTAAAGGATGGGGGAGAAATTTAACTCTCCATTGAGTCCTGGGAATTGGGTAGCCTTGAGAGTGCAGATCCAGTGGGACTCTATCTGTAGTAGTTTTCAGTCTGTCTCCTCCTCTTCTTGTTTCTTTAATATGTCCAATTGCACAGACTTTTAGGTCCAACTCCAGGTATGTTTTTGAGCAGGTAAAAGCATTCTAACATGTCATGTTTTGTGTAATATAGGACCTTTAAATATATTAAAACAGAAAATAAACTGCAAGGATGCAGACTATGTAGATTGGCTTCATTCCTGCTCGGGGCACATGAGGCAGACTCACAGTTACTTCAAAGACTGTGTGGTTTCTCGCGGTGGACGGCTTTTGTGTGAATGACAAGCGCCTAAATTATTACCTTCTTGACTTAAGTGTTGCTGTACAAGTTCTCATGGTTATTCATTATAGTTCATTACTGTTTACTTACCTAAATGTGTTAAGCGTGTTTGTGTCTTTTGTAATTTGGTTTTGTGGTTTATTGGTTTTCGTTTTCTTCAAATTAATGTGTTTTGCTATAATCTTTTATTTTCAGATTTTGTGCAAAATTCTGGTACATTAAGACACAGATATTACTCAATACTAAAATACCAAAACTAGATCCAAGTCATACTTGGATCATACATAATCGATACTCAAAAACTCACAAAAATAGAAAAGAATTTGACCTTTTTAGTATTAAAATGGTCTTAATTTATAGTGAAAATAATACAAGACCACATGCTAAAAAGAAAAAAAGGATATTATTTCATGTTTAAAACAACTTTAAAGGTCCATTATGTCACTTTTCTCGTGGAGGGTCCGTCAAATGTTTTTCTGCATGGAGCTGTTATTGCTTTGTTCACAGTATGGCATCAAAAATCGGTATCAAGCCTTTTTCTTACTTTCAAAATCATGTTGGAAATCTTAACATTGTGACAACACTGACTGCACTCAAAGCTTGTTGCAAAGAAGGGGATTTTAACATAACATTATCATAGTTCTTCCCCATTAGCTGTTGTGCCAAAAGTTGATGCAGCTTGTTGCTTTGTTGATGCTTAAAATACCCAAGTAATTTACATCTTAAAGACTCACTGCTACATCATTGCAACCATTTATAACACATCTGAGCGAGCCAAGACCACTTAGCTGACAGTACACGCACTTTGGGGATGCTGAATGAATGATAAGCTTTTAGTACACTCTATCACTCATAACCACAGCGGGATCTGTCTAAGTAAAGGCTGTATTAATTTAACATTGTTTGTGTGGTCAGTATAACTCATCTAATGCTCTCTTGTGATTACAGGCGTTGCACAAGACATCCAGAAGCACTTTGACCAGTCAGACAGTGGGGTTGGCCTTCTCCAAACAGGTTAGTGCTTCTTCTTAATTCTGTAATTACTGAGAAGACTTGGCTTAAGAGAAACAGTGCAATGACTCTGCCAAAAACTACACTCAGAAGAATCAATGGAGGCTCACTACATTAAAGTTACTGAGGTCCCATTTAGGCTCATAATCTAATTTTAAAGACTACAAGAAAGTATTTTTTATGTCTTGGTTGTTTGCATGTCTATTTTGTAATTATGACATTGCTTTCATTCCAGCTTTAAGCCAGGTTATAATACTGTTGCCTCATCGAAAACATACCCAGAGTTTTGTTTCATTCACACATGTTTGAGTAATCTGCATTATTAGTCTGTCTACATCTCCAAAGTAGAGGTCTGCGCGAGGTCCCGCCCGCACCCGCACTGGGCAGTCCCGCTTCTGCAAAGAATTGTAATTTTCAGTCCCGCTCCCGCCCGCAAGTCCCACAAGATGGGGACGTTCGCTTTCTTAAGCTCTATCAAATACGGAGAAGTGGAAAGGAAGAAGCGTGAGATTAGACCACATCTGCAAGATTAGGCTGCTTAAATTGTTTTTATTAATGCCAAATAAAATATGATGATAAATTATGTATAATATGCTTACATTCATCATTTGTATATTTTACTTTACACTCATATTCAGTTTGTGGGACTGCAGTTTATCATCCCACCTGCACGCTCTCGCATTGTGCAGTCCCACTTCCGCTCGCGTCCGCAATGAGCTTTCAAAATGCAGGGCTCTACTCCAAAGCTCAAAATGCTCTGTTCCACCTTGTGATGTCATGCAGTGTAGTTTTCAACTGAACATCTTAATTTTACCTTTGTACAGTAGAGATTGACACTTCCAGGGCTGAAGTGAGCACTTCCTGTATGTACAGAGTGTTTAGTTTGAGAGAAGAACTCAGCTAAATATGCAGAGTTTGTGTGTTAAGCATGTGTGAATGAATCAAAACACAACACCAAGTATGTTTGTCATGAGGAAACAACATTAAAACATAGATCAGATAAAACTTGAATCTTATCCAGAGTACATATGAGGCTCTGCTACTGTTTGGACGAATATTTGCTGTCCTATAATTGTGCAGTTATTCTAAAAAACTAACTGTATCCTGGTCAAGGTTGGCAGACAGAGCTGACCCCAGAGCCAGCAGCAGTAGCAGGAACAGGAGCAGTAGCAGCAGCAGCTTTGGAGGTCACTGGCAAAGAAAACAGAAGTGCACTGCTCTGGCTCTCTACTAGTATATATTTATGTCACCTATATTCACTACTGCCTTAAGTCCACGGTGTTGGGCTGGGTTTCCTGTTGTAAGAATTTACCTTTTTGGTTCGATACACTGCACAGCTCTCTTAGTTCAGGACAGGGCGCAGTCTTGTCCCCTTTAAGCACTCAAACCCCATTCAAACACCAACAAACTCCGACTCACACAAAGTACCATTGAGCCGAGGCAATCTGCTCAGGGAGAGAGGGGGAAGAATACAGCCCAGTGTTTCCTCGCCACGTCATGTTTGTTGACTAACTTTAGTGAGCTGAATCGGGGCTGAAAGACAAAAATACCCTCTTGCTATATTTGATGTTGGTTTTGCAATGAATGAGTCGTTTTATCACTGGAAAAACGCTGGTCTAATGCGCAGGCTTAGACAAATTGGACCAAGGCGTCTGGCATTAAAATAGACTCAATGTAAATCCTCTCCCAAAGCAAGTGAAAGTTACACTCATTACACACATTGTTTTGTTAGGTAATCTTTGCTACTGTACCAGATAATTATTTAGCATTGTCGTTGGTAAGATGTTTTGTTAAAAGGCACACTATGCAACTTTTCCTGTCCAGCACCTGGTTGTGTATAAGGAGACATTCTAGGGAGATCCCTTTCCCTGAAATGTACCACAGTATGGCATTAAAATGGGTTATTATTGAACAATAGGTGTAGAAAAATATGCATTCTACCATAAGTGGGCCCACCTCTCCACAAATCAGACCTGTAAATTGGCTTGGTGCTTGTCTCCATGGAAATAGATGTCGTTAATACCATAAAAAAATCCTGGCAAACCAACAACATCTCCATGGTGATGGACCCACCCCCCTGGAAAGTTACACAGTGCACCTTTAAATGCTAAATGAATAGTCTTCTTCTGGCCAGGAAAACAAGAGATTGTTTCATGTAAATCCCGGTTGTATTTATGTATTTATTGAGAAAGAAGACAAGGTTTATAAAAGTCTATTTATGAACTTTATTAGTCATTTTAAGCACATTAAGTAGTTCAAAATAATAATAGAATATCTTAAACAAAGGTCTCATTGCAGAAAGTAGTATTGCTAATATTTTTGTAGCTGCTTCATTTAAACCTGTGAAACAAGTGCAAAAAGACAAAAAAACAAAAACATGCTGTCTGGACTCATTTCAAAAGTCCAACCAAAGCAGAACCCGAAGGTGAGGGAAAGACATTATTATTATTTAGTCAGCATGAGCTTGCATCTGTAAAAACATACCTACATTTTGAGCTACCAGACGTTTTACCCTGAATGTTTGGTTCAATAGACGCAGGAAACCGTAAAAGTACTTGCAGATTTTAATTCTGTTTTGATTGGCCCATTGTGACGCTCAGACACGTTCTCCGAGACGACTTCCACTATGTGTTTATGAAATGGAACTCCTGACGGTCGATTCTCACCCTGGTCCCAGCCGGGTAGGTCTCCACTTGGCCCCTGATCCCCGGGCCAAAACCCCCCCCTCACACTCCCTCACATACCCCCCTTTCCTTCTCACCCCCCTTCCCCCCTCCCCTCGCCTCTCGCATGAGTCTGAGGAATGTCCAGGTCTGGAGCTGTGAGGGCAGCCGCCGCAGACAGAGGGACCTGGGTGTGAGGGAGAGGTTAAAGGGTGACGTCATGCCTGTTTGTCAGTTGAAATGTTTACTGTGTAGAGCCTTGTGTTGGTGTTAGTAATGATTTAAGTGCTGCAAACTTAAGCCGAGCGTAATGTCATTTTTGTAGATGGGTTAGCATTAGTCATTGGACAAAGATTGATTAGGAAATAAAATAATCATTATTATTGCACTACACTGCATTTCTGGTGGAGCGTCTGCCACCTGTGTTTTGTCTTTGTCTTTGCCTGGAACGTTCCCCACTGTACGGTACTAAAATTATCTATCGCTATGGCAACAAGCAGGTGACGCCACAAGTCCAAGTTAAATGTCAGACCAGTTTTGTGCAATAAAAGCATCTGTAAAAGTATAAAAATAAATCCTAGATAGGTTATTTTAATGTCATACTGAGGAAAATTTCAAGTGAAAACATAACATATCCAGGGGTAGAAAAAGGTGGCGGACCCTCCTCCAGAAAATCTTCATAGTAATGTACTTTCTCTGAACCTAAAACAGTTACTTTGTATTATTTATGAGTTGTTTGAAGAGGCAATTTTAGGGCCTGTTTACACGAGAAGACTTGTGGGAAAAACGACAAAACATTTTATCAGAAGTGCCTTTCATTTAGACAGTGATGGCGCTTTTGGGGCTTAAAGCACAAAAATCTGAAACCAGAGTGGAAAAGTTTAATAGGATCCACCGTAGCGTTTCCATCTACATTGCCCAAGATGCAAAACTCTGGTCAGATCTGCTCATGTTGTGTGCACTTTTACATCACGTACATAGAGTACACAGAAACAAACATGTCAGATGGCATGCATACCCAGTCGAATTCCACACACTTTCGCATTACCGTATGCACACAGATTTCCTCCTGAAAAGGCTTGTCTAAATGCGGAATAAAAAGTGAAGACATGACACCACTTTTGCATCTTCTGTTCAGACCGTCATCATATAAATGTAGCCTCAAAATCAAATCCTTTGCCTAGCTTTGATATTTTAACCTCAGTCCTATTCTTGAACTCAGTCGTTATACAACAACTCTTTGCACACCATTATTGCTTGTGTCACCCACATATCTCCATCCCACGACCTCTCCCATGGGTGCACAATCGCTCCTTCTCCGAGCACCTGCAGACCAGCCTTCTGTCCGGTCCACCTGGGAGCTCAGACTGCAGCGTAGGTGTTTTACAGCCTGTGCCAGGTCACCTCACACATATGAAAAAACACACCCCCTGACCATGCAATCCAAGTCTTAAAACAAACACAGGAATGAGACAGAAGTAAGGTGGTTAAAAGTATAGAAAATCAGATACTAATCAATTTTAAAACTAGATACTCATGTACTTGAGCAGGTATCGCTATACTAAAAAAGACACATTCACAGGACTGAAATTAACCATTTCTGAATAGCTTTAGAATAATCTTTAGTTTTATGAACAGCAATATTAAGACCACACAGACTAGTATGGAACCTACCTGAGTGACAGTAGAATTACACAGATATAAGATCACATGTAATATATAAAATATAAAAAAATACAATATAAAAAATTGACTACAATTTTTTGTTGAAAGTGAGATTGTGTAATTAAACTACTGAGTACTGAGTTTATTCCTTAGTATAGAAATCAAGTTTGACATTTAGTAACGTGACAACAGTAGTCAAAAGTACTACACAGAGCTTGAACCCAGGTCAAAAGAACTACTGGAATAAAACTGTTCCCATATCATCAATACATACATACTAGACATAAGAAATCTAGGTTAAGCTCAGGGAAATCCTCAGCACTGTTTTTGTTTGAAAAGTAGTGCCTCAAAATGTCTTTCCAAATCAGCAGAAAATACAGTACCAGTTAATTGTGTTTTGATTTAAATTCACTCTAAATTAATCATGTTTTTAAAAGAGTTTTTTTGAACTAAAGAAAACACTGGGTTTTCTTACACATTTTCCTCTCACCGGCTGGAGGTGTTGGAGAAAACCCAGAAGCAAAATGACTCAGAAAGCCGATGTCTTGAGCCAAACTAGTGTTTACCTTGTAGCCTTTGAACTTCTGCTACTGCGTGAACTTTGCCCTTTGCCCCCAGGCAGTGGCAGTGGTAGTGGTAGTCTATAGAAATCCTCAGAAGACTTATACAGAAGTT